CTTATACGTGTTAAATGAGCAATAATCTTTGCACTATAGAGACTGTGTTCAAATTCCCTTCAAAATATTATTCAGACAATCCATTCTACATTTGGCTAACTTATCTCTTCTTTTGTTAATTACATTTCACTGTACTGTAAATCAATGATCAGTGACGGGATGGCTAGATGCGTCAGATCCTTTATTAACATGCTACTTGTAGGAAAACCAACGCCAAGTCACGAATGCAAACGTGCACTTTGTTATTGATGTACTGTAAACCCAATAAGAACAAAAGTATTACTTCTCAATAGATATCCTGTGATTAGAAAAAACAGGAAGCGATGGTCGATGTTTTGTCCAAGGTACTTTTATCCACATTTGTTATTTAGGAGATTAATTAAGAGATATTCATTGAGAAAGATACTAATAGATAACACAATGTTATACTTAACCATGCCATTTATTGGCAACTAACGACCGAATCACCAGAGTTATGTTAAGGATGAAGAAAAGAATCCGAGGGCAACGATAATTCAATCCTGTTCCATCACTTGTTTACGGACACAGCTTTAGCTCAATGCAACCGTTTCGAATGTTACTTAGTAAGAACGAGCCGGCGTCTAGCTCAATGTTACAAGTCTAAAGGGGAAATGCTAAAGAATCAGTACTCTACTCATACCATACCATGCCATATCATACCATACCATACCATACCGTACCGTATCGTATCGTACCGATCGTACCATACAATACCAGTACACAATACCATACCATATCATATCATACCATGCCATACCAAACCGTATCGTATCGTACCGACCGTACAATACCGTACCATACCACACAATACCGTACCATACCATACCATACCATACCACACAATACCATACCATACCATGAAATACCATATCATACCATACCATACCATACCACACAATACCATACCATATCATACCATGCCATACCATACCATACCACACCATACCATACCATACCATACCATACCATACCAGTACACAATACCATACCATAACATACCATACCATACCATACCGTATCGTATCGTATCGTACCGACCGTACCATACCGTATCATACCATCCCATACCATCCCAGTACACAATACCATATCATACCATACCATACCACACAATACCATACCATATCATACCATGGCATACCATACCATACCACACCATACCATACCATACCAAGCTTAAGATAGAAATAAGGGTTAAGGGATGTTAGCTGTCATTATAGAATTTTAAATGGAGCTAACGGAACAATCTTCCAATAACATTGACCTTTTGAGTTTTCCTGCTGAAAACGTTGATTTTGACATTTGATTCATCATTCTTCTTTCACTATTATTGAGTCCCGTCGTCAAATATGCAAATCGTTCTGACTCAATTTATATCACCTGGCCTTGTATTCTTTATTGATATCCACAATACAGATTCAAACCAGACTATAAGAAAAACAAATAGTACCGTAATATACGTCGAGTGCTGATTTTTTTAAATTGATGATTTCTGATAATAATGCCATCTATGTATTTTTGTTTTAGTTACCGTTTTCCTTTAAGGCCAATTTATATCAATATTTCAAAATGTAACACTCGGGTAGTTTCCAAGGCTGTTGTGATGAATCAAAATCTAATACTTCTGTAGTTTCCAAGGCTACTAGAGGCCTTCAAAAGCCTCAGTGATATTTGCTTCACGGCGGCTGTACAACGGCCGTAGCTTCACAAAATCAATTGAGAAAATCTACATCGTACTGCTTATCCCAATATTTTATGCTGCATATTCCCCTCGATTTTGAGAAGCTATGGCTGGCGTACGGTTGCCGTCGATCGAATGTGACTGAGGCATAAGCCATCATACGGGGTGCTAAGATACGAAAGATACGCACTATTTTATGTGGATTGGGGGCAGTTGGGGATGTATATCTAATGAGTAGTCGCGGCTGTCACATTTTTGTGGGAAGTGTTCAGGCAATTTGATATTGAAAATGGTCATTAGTAGAAGGATGCCTCAGACTGATACGTAATTAGGCACTCAACTACTGCACTTTAATAGTGGAAGTAATTGGAGAGGTAATTACGGCGTTCTTTCAAAAACACCTCATATATCTTCATTATTTTCCCATTTCAAATTCCTTCAAATAGGTCGATCAGGCATCAGGAACTCAATGAAGAAACATGCACTTGTGTCTGATTCCAAATTAATCCCAACTTGCATGTTGACTTGTATGTTAACCTGTCTTTCTAAATATCTACAAATTTCAGGGGGAGGGGTTCACTTGTGACAATTTGGTCCAAAAATGGCCAAAATCACTTAAAAAGTGCTCAGTGTATGTGAAAGGGTCTTTCAACTGCATGGACGTGAGTTCCTGATTGAAGCATACATGAAATTCCATGAATCAACGCACCTATAGATGTCTTATTCTGATACTCATCACATCTTTCCTTTTAAGAAAGGAAGTAATACAGAAGGTCATGACGGACATTTGTTATTTTCAACAAGGATTTCGGAGCATGGGAGGTAAACAAAAATCGTTCCCGCCACAATGCTCGGATTAATAAATTGACCAATTCCTTATATTATACCTCAGTCACATTTTATCTACGGCAACCGTACAATGGCCGTACTTTCCAAAATCGAGAATTAAACTCGTATGCAGCTTAAAATATGGGGATAAGCAGTAGGTCTTACGCCAATGTTCTATATTGATTTTGTAAAGCTGCCGCCGCCATACATGTACGTCCACCCTAGAGCAAATGTAACCACATATATAAACATTTTGGCTTTCATTATTAAGAAAGTGTGTATCTTTGAAACGATCAATTGCAAAATCGCACACATTTCTAAATTTCAAGCAAAAAAACGAAATTATTTTCCGCATTTATTTGCATGCGGACAATGAAGACAACCTGCTCCCTCTAAAAGCTTGCATGAGTATAGGCATTCTAAGTTCGAGCATTTTGATTGACTCGTGTAACCATTTCTATTTAAATATTTACGTTAGATTAGATTGCAGGATTATTTCTGGATTAATAAAGGCATCGTATGTTGCACATTCTGTTAAAATACATCAGAATGAACCGACCCAAAATTCAAACTGTCATAATGACTATTGCCTAAAGTACCTTAAGTGATGCATCGACAATTCTCAATCACCCTTAGCCAATGAAGCCCCCCTAAAAATGAAGTATTGCATGGTGAAATATTCTCAATAATAGCAAACGTCGACTGTTATCGCGCGATTGTTGCTAAATGTCATTCTTTTAGGAATTTACATGTTAATTGCCAGTTTCTTTCCGTGACTTACGAACAGATGCATGGTGGCATTTCAGATCGATCATTTGTTTTTTATTCTCTCAATGAATATAATGTAAAAACAATGACACGATCTAGTGAGTTCTATAACACCAATATTATCACGGGGTACCATCGAATAATTTTGGCAACGTACCGGAGAACGACATTTTACTAAGAAATGGCAATAATTTAGCACAATATATTTTTTAACTAGAGTTCTACTTTGATTTTGACAAAAGTAAGTATTCCATGCAATGGCTATTTCATTCATGAGTTTGTAGGAATTCTGTTGGAACCCAGTTCTGATCAAGTACGAAGCTATTGAAATCGGCGCAGTCGGACTTTACTTCGAAAGATGGTTTTTCGATTATAACTTTTTACAACATTTAAGTATAGACTTTTGAAAAAAGTACAGAATAGTCCTTATACTATTGAATAATTCTGTTATTTCTGATTCACACGACTCTGATTTGTTTAATTAAAAAAAAGTTTTAAAAATATTACTTAGGAACGTAACCGGAGCTGGGAACGTAACCGGAGCAGATCAGTTGAATTATATAATTTAAAAAAATAAAATATATGATTTAAAGCATATATATTAATAAATACGCATTCGAACAATCCCGTATGTTTTTAAATTAGTATATGTGCTTTAAATCATATATTTTAATTTTTTTGATTTAAATAATTCAACTGATCTGCTCAGGTTACGTTCCCAGCTCCGGTTACGTTCCTAAGTAATATTTTTAAAACTTTTTTTTAAATTAAACAAATCAGAGTCGTGTGAATCAGAAATAGCAGAATTATTCAAAAGTATAAGGACTATTCTGTACTTTTTTCAAAAGTCTATACTTAAATGTTGTGAAAAGTTATAATCGAAAAACCATCTTTCGGAGTAAAGTCCGTCTGCGCCGATTTCAATAACTTCGTACTTGATCAGAACTGGGTTCCAACAGAATTCCTACAAACTCATGAATGAAATAGTTATTGCATGGAATACTTACTTTTGTCAAAATCAAAATAGAACTCTAGTTAAAAAATATATTGTGCTAAATTATTGCCATTTCTTAGTAAAATGTCGTTCTCCGGTACGTTGCCAAAATTATTCGATGGTACCCCGTGATTATAGTATTGTTAATAGAATACAAAACACTCTCAATCTGCTGTTGATATTAACAGCCGTGCATTTACAATGTTGAATAAAATAAAATATCAATGGTTTTTAATAAAACCTAGAGAAATAAGCATTTATCATGGTGAAGGGTCATTACACTCCAGGTCAACTCAATATTACGTCAACAGTGTTAAGTAATTGCTTCTTTATAATTCTGCATACTTCTAAAATATGTGAACTAATGAGATAATTATTGCGAAGAATTAGCATGCTCTAATTCGATGAAAAAACAAAGATTCTGTTTAACTAATGCCTGACACCAGAAAAATGAAGCGTTTGGGTGTATTTAGAAATTAGGAATGGTTTAAATGACAATGATTGAGACAAATTGATTTGTTACTCTTTATTAATTTCTTTAACCATTCGGAACAAATATATCAGGCGTGAGTGACGAATTCGAATAACAAAATGTCATGTCAATTGCCAACCGTTTGTTTATTTTTTCACTTCAGTGTGTGAAATTAGCACTATCGATTTGATAAATGACAGATTAATTTATTGGCTATGCTTAGTAGGTATACTCACAATTAAAAGCTCTTGCAGCATGGTCGCTGCTGTCAACGGGTATAACGACTATCCTTCCATTAGATTGAGTCGCCATCTTGCTTTACGTGAACGATAGTTAGTTCTGTGAGTTGGTCTTCAGAAAAATCTCACTGTTTCATGAAGAAGTACTTCACAGTATGTAGATATGTATTTATCCAATCAATTGCTTTTAAATCATAGTTTATAGATCTTCCAAATGATTGCTAAATGCTCTATCTATTTCGAGACGTCCTATAATTGGTAGAAACGCTAGATACTGGCCTCCTCTGCTCTGCTTTTGTACACTGGTCTTATTAACAGCCAATGGATACTGAAAATAGAGTGGTTGCTTATCATTTTACTTTATATGACTGCGGATTTATCGATATTATGTCACTTCTCACAGCATATCAGGAATTGTGGATTCCCTCGTCGGTTGTCAAAATGCCTACCCTTCAAAAACAATTGAACTTCATATTTACTCTTTAAATATCACTACCTGATCTAGCCAGTGTTAGATTATAATATTAAATCACGACATCACATTTCTAAAGTACATGAAGCTAATATTGATTTAAAAAGTAGTCAATATTACAACTGTAAAAATGCGTGTGCACAAGTGCCAGATGGAAAATACTAATAAAAATGTAAAAAAATCAGAAAAAGCAAGAAATCAACGTTAACATCTAAGAGTAACCAAGCGTAACCCTACTATCACACCAAACTAGTTCTCACTAAGTTCTCGAAAACGGGCTTCAACTGTGTACGAACGGACTGGACATACTAAGAACCGTTTGGGATCTATTTACAAACTTCATCGAACCTACTCGAACGGATAGGTCCTCTAGAACTTAGACAATGCTCAAAATGTTCTCGTGGTCGTCACGTTCTACAATTAGAACGAGTGACAACGTACATTGTACTAACGACGAGCTGGACTTCCTACGAACCGAACCGTCGTACTTCAACCCTATTAGGGACGTTTTAACAACGAGTTGAACTGTCTGAGGACGTGTTGAGAACGAGGTAGAACTAATTGCAAACGGGTTTAAACTGATTAAGAACGTATTTAACACTGCTTATGAACGAGTTAGCAAAAATATAGCTATCACACCAAACAAGTTGCCACTGCGTTCTTCAAAACTGGTTTTAAACTGTGTGCGAACGGAATGAACGTAGCTGCAACTTTCTAAGGTCTATTTATGAACTTTATGAACGTTCTCAGACGGGAATGTGATTTTAGAATTTTGAACCGATTCAAAATTCGATGGCGACCATACCGTTCTGTAATCAGGTCATGTTGACCTTCTAGACTAAGGGACGCGTTCTACTACGTTGCACACCGAAGTGGTGCGACCTGAACGAACTGCGAACGAGATGGACGTATTGAAGACTGTTTAAAAACGAAGAAGCTAATTATTTCAGACATATTTCCCGACCACAGCCAGATTGAGCCCGTTTTACGACGTTTTCGTAGGACTGGCAAGAACGGGTGAGAACTAGTTTGGTGTGATAGGGGGGTTAGGTAATCAAACCTTTAATATCCAAACAAGATGTTTTAACCTACAAATGCTTAGATAAGTAACTTTACAGGGTGAGCCAGAAATGGAACATTACTTAAATGTATGTGGAAACTTTACTTTGCAAACAAAGCGCTGGAATCAGTGCCTAGATCCTTAAATATAAAGTGTTGTTAGCCATATGGAGCATCCTTCATTCAAAGGACCTCATTTGTTACTCAATTCAATATGGACCAAGGATGATATGGAGTTCTATATACGAATTCTCAAATTAATATTCACTATTGCATTATATTAATATAAACTATTACAAGATTTAACAGTCTTTATACACAAGAGGCTACATTAAGACCACTGTGAGATTTATTTTTTCTATATCAGGTACAATTATTGCATTATGATTTATGTACTTCCAAAAATATTTCTAAAATATAGTTAAAAAGGCTATACTTGCTAAATACAAATGATTTATGAGTGATATGATTTTTATCCACGAATGGATATGATATCTGCACGAGCGAGCGTAGCGAGAGAGTGCAGATATCAATAACCATGAGTGGATTAAAATCATATCACGAGTAAATCATAGGATGTTCTTTTTATTCCATAGTTAAAGTCATCATCAGAATCGTCGGAAACTAAGTCATTTAATTCGAATTTTCCAAAAGATCCGGCGATGTTGACACTTAGCCTCGTTTTGAGTCTGAAGTAGCAAAAATCCATAAACCATCGCATACGACATCGTATGTCATGGCTAAAAAACGTATGCTATGGATATTTTACCACTGATTACAAAAATACCGTTTTTATTTTCACATGTTATCCTATGAATATCATGCTAACTATGGAATAAAAAACAGTAGGGCTATTTCAAAATTTCGCTAGGTATCGAAAACCCCCAATTTCAAGTTTCAACTAAACCAACAGAATATGGATTTCGTTCAATTCACAATGCAAACCATAGAATTCCGATTGAAGAAAGTACAGATATAAATGCTCAAATATCACAAAATCGGAAAAACAAAACTGCTTCGCTTGAAAAGGAACTGACTCAAAGGGAGGCTAATACTTACTCATAATTGATGTAACTAATCCAATGAAAATTTTATGTATTATCCCGAAACAGCCAAAAATGTAATTGGGGTTAGTATCAACTTAAGCAAAACTGTTTCCTTAATTTTTTTTCAAATGTTTAAATGTTTTGGCATTTTTTGTACGGTGAAGTTGTTTACAATCGTAATCCAAATTTTACTCAGTTGAGCTGATCAAAGGTTTATCGATCGATCGAATTTTGTAGATGATAATTACTGAGTTACTACGATTTTGGTGTGGACAAGTGAAGTAAAAATTAAGACATTTTGGCCCACTCTGCATTTGTTGGCATGTGTCGTGAAGTCAAACGTAATGATAAAACATGGCTTAGGAACGGCGAAGCATCGGAACAACACAGATGATAACAGTTCCAATATCTTATCAGGGTGAATACATACAGGTGTAGCAGAACAAACCGCCCATCAACCCTTTCCTCAAACATCTTTCAAGTAACGAATAAAGCTTAACTCATATCAGAAGGAATGTAGGATGTATTGTTTGTAGGTTGCTTTGCTTCAATATATTGCACCATCTAAAACAGCACAATTTTTATTCCTATCTTTTGACAAAGGTGATAGCTTACATGGTTAAAAGAGAGGTTTCACAAGACAGTGTCCAAAACGTAACCACAATCGCACCTCGTTTTGGTGCACATAGAACTGGTGAATGCGTTACGAATTTTAGATACGTTGAGCTAAAAACGTCGTTCGAGATCTAGAACTGCATAAAGAGAGTTACAGATGTCTTGTCTTATTCAGAGTATCCACAATGTCCTCATATTCTTGTACTCTGACCACTGCAAGTGCTTTTATTCAATTACATCTTTTGTTACATTTGATGCAGGATGACCTATTTTTAAGGTCATGTATCTGATGATGACGAAATTCGTTTTCAAAATGTATCATATAAATCTTACCAAATTAAGGATTATAAAAACGAAATTATCTACATAATGGGTATAATATTGATTGTGTTCGTTTATAGTGGCAAGATTGCATTACATTTGATTAAATTCACCATCTCAAATAGATATGCCAGTTTTCCCATGAGAATATAAAAACAGTTTTCATGCAATTCTACTATACGTATTGTTGATACATCGAAAAGACAATAGGGATGGCTATCTCTAAAATCTTTTCTTTAAATGTCATATTCAAAACATTGCATAAATTACACAATATGTATTCATTGACATCCATTCGTAAAGGGCAACTTAACTGTAATTTTATGCAACAATTACCTCATAAAATCAAGGATAATATCTGACACAATATGCATGAATCGAAAGTGTTCACTTAAATTCCAATCTGGTTTGTTTTAGATAGTATTCTAACCATTTGAAAGCTTGTTTTGAATTGATTTACTTGACTTTGCCCCATTAAGCTAGAAAATAAATTCTCGGAAATGCATCAAGACTTGATGTCTGATGTAATGAGATAATGATATAAATCCTCAAAAATCACATCAAAATGCAAATAAGCGTGAAATGATGTACCAGAGATAACGTAAGATCACTAATGTTGTTATACTCTACATTTTGTGTATCAATATATTTTTCCGTGAAAATCTCAACGAGAAACATTTATAAATGAGAGTACAGTGTATTTGTGTATGAACTCATAGAACGACCTGGTATTTTGTTGAAACATCATTAGACTTGAAACTACTGGTATAATTGAATTTGAATTTCAAACCCATATGTTACCCATCTCATATCTCATCTTGACGTATCAAAGAACTTCAAAACCAGACAATGTGGGCTCATGGGTACATCCATCTGTACTGATATACAATCATCAAACCAAATGGATAAGGTATCTCAATGGAATTTCTTTGCATTTGTTCCGATTTTTAGCCAACCAAAGTTCATTCCAATGTGTTCCATTCTCTTTAATATTAGACCAATGCTGTACATCTTGATGAAAGAGCCTTAATTAACTAGTATATAAATGATAATTATCATTGCATCTTACCTTGAAAACTGTTACAAATACATCTACTGAAACATTTATAAATATGTTATATAGTCCACAAGATTCCTTGTTATCCTGCTTACGAGTTTAAACACAGTTGAATCTATACTTAGTAATAGCGTGTATAGTCTACAGAATGTAACGATTGCGATCTATTTTTAATGAGCTGGCATTGTTTTTGCATTTCTTCAACCGGCCAGATCTTGTTAAGAACAAAGATCAATACGCAAACGTTTCAAGGACAATCTCTTTTGGTTCCGTGCTCTTAAACAATACTTTTTCATTACTAAGCCGTAAAACATAACCATCCGTCGATATATTGTTGACGCTCGTATTTGTTTAGTTTCCTCGGGGAGTTGTCCTATTCATGCACAGATTGATACCATGATTGTTATTATCGATAGCAATAGAAAATGCAATAGCATCAAATATCTCGCTCAGAACTATGCTAAGTTAGATTATGGTTATTTACAAGTTCTGGTTAACTTAACACCGATCACAAGTTACCTATAAACTGCAAAATTTCACATTAGAGTAAAATAGTCGATGTAATACATTATCCAATACTAAACAAAATGTAATAAGCAATAATATTATACAGCGAAAATCAATTAATGGTAGCTCTCCAGACAATAAAGAGAGTTACCATTGAAGAATGCGGTCTTTATAAAACTAAGATCCTAGTAAATCGTTGATATCTTCGTTCTATAAATAGAATGAGGTATGGTGAGATTGGGTATGGAGCT